GTCAGTCTGGTTTCTTGTCCTGTACTTTTCCCAAATAACTGCAATGATTTTCTAGCATTAGCAGCTTGCTATTTTTGTTCCACTTCTGTAGGATTATTGTAATATTTCAGGAGTTGTCATTGAAATGTTGGGAAACACTCAGATTTTAGATGCTGTATCTTCATGACAAATACTTAGAAAAACATGTTCCTATGATAATGATTTTCTCAAGGGCCTATGTTTATTATACCTAGGGCTAGAGTAGACCTTGAATTAGCAATGATTCCATCCAATTCCAAAGAGATACTTGCAGACACCATGGAGAAAACACCATGTAATTAGCCCATTTTAATAGAGCAAATAAACAAAAGACTAATCAATAAAAGTAGACTTTTGCAAACATAAAATAGGAAAATCTAATGAGAATGACAACATTGCAAAAAGCAATTTTATTAGCAGATGCTAATCATGAATTTCCCCTTGATATGCACTGTTTTGTGGATAGATGTGCATTTTTTCTGGAGAGCAGATCTGCAGCTTTTGTTAAATTATCAAAGGAATCTAACTTTTAAAGGTTAAGAATTTACAGTAATACACAACGGGAGGGAAGGCATGTTGGCACAGTTTCAAGGAGGAGCAAGTGATGGTAAAAAAAAAAGAGGGACTATACCTAGGAAAAACTGAAAAGCAAGCAAAATGTATCTACTTCGTTTCTGGACTTTTGGTATCCTTGTGCTGTCTTTCCAAAGGAGATTTAGAAAGATTTCCTTTTTTTTTTTTTTTTTTAATTTATTCTTAAATAGGAAAAGCTCTGGATTTAAGATACTGTTATTCCTTTATTTTAGCCCCGTGTCTAACTAGCCCCAAATACCTGTACCCAAACTCTTGGAGATTTTGTGGGGCTGGTGGACTTTGCCTGTCTTTGGAACGTTGGGAAACACTCAGATTTTAGGTGCTTTTATCTTCATGACTAACATGTAGAAAAACACGTTCCTCTATGATTTTTTTCATACCTTTTTAATGCTGTTTCTTATGTCTCTTATCTATATCTTACCCATTTCCTTAGTCCTACTTCTGTTTGATGAAGTCTTTGATTATTATCCCACCCTCCTCATCGGTCCTTTCTTTGTGGCACATTTCATCTGAACACTGCATTTTGGTTTCTAGACTGACAGTGAATTATATGATTGGATCTTTCCTCTGTGTGCTTGCATTTTTTTTTTCCCCAACTTCCTTAGGGTAGAGACAATGGTTTTTCATTCTTTCTCTTCCTTCTGTTGCTGTGGCATTTGGTGAAATGGAAAGAACTAAATTTATAATCAAAAGACATAAATCCTTTATCAAGTTCCATTACTTATTATCCATATGATGTTGCCAACAGATTCTTAATCTGACCTAGCCACAGAAACTCTCTGAGCTTGACTTTTGCTAATCTGTGAAATGGAGATAAAAAGGAAAATTAGCATAAGCTCCCAACATCTATTAACAAGAACGTCCATTGTGGTGCTCTAACACCCTGGAAATTTACTATTGTCCTTTAGAACTCTACTGTTAGACATTCATGACCTTCTGCTGGAATACCAACTTCTCTACAGCTTTCTCTAAACAACCTTGCATCTTTGTTTTACTTCCTCAAAATTGAAGTTGGGAGCATGTGATTACTGCATCTAGTTCGGCTGCCTTTGGCTTCTGTAGTGTGTTTTAGGTCCTGCCTCCCATCTCTCTCAGGATTCCTTCAGAAGAAGAGTGTTTTGATACTAAGGAGCCCATAAGACAAATAGCTACCTCATCCGTTTAATTCAGTTTTTAGGCAGTTTTTTTTTTCTTGCTTAACACCATTGTTTTAATTTGTAATTCCCTAATGACATATGATGTTGAACATCTTTTCATGGAGTTACTTGCTATCTATATATCTTCTTGGGGTGAAGTGTCTATTAATGTCTTTTGCTCATTTTAAAGTCAGGTAGTGTGTTTTCTTAACTGTTGAGTTCTAGCAGTTCTTTGGATATTTTGGATAACAGTCCTATATGAGATGTGTCTTTTTCCCAGTCTGTGGCTTATCTTCTCATTCTTTTGACATGGCCTTACAAAGAGCAGTTTTTAATTTACTGAAGTCCAGCTTATCAGTTACTTCTTTTGTGAATTGTGCCTTTGTGTTGTGTCTAAAAAGTCCTAATCATATCCAAGGTCATCTGAGTTTTTTCCTATGTTGTCTTCTAGGAATTTCATAATTTTGCATTTTACATTTAGGTCTGTGATCCATTTTGAGTTAATTTTTGTGAAGGTCTGTCTCTAAGATTTTTTTTTTTTCCACCATGTACATGTCCATTAGTTACAGCACCATTTGTTGAAAAGGCTGTTGTTGCTCCATTGTATTGACTTTGCTCTGTTGTTGAAGATCAGTTGACTGGGGCACCTGGTTGGCTCAGATGGTGGATGGAGCATGTGTCTCTTGGGGTTGTAAGTTTGAGATCCACATTGGATGTAGAGGTTGCTTAAAAATAAAATCTTTAAAAAAAATTAGTTGACTATATTTATGTGGGTCTATTTCTGGCTCTCTGTTCTGTTCCATTTGATCTATTTGTTCTTTCACTAAAACCATATTGTCTTGATCACTAGTAGCTTTATAGTAAGTCTCCAAAGTTGGGTAGTATTGGTTTTGAACTTCAGCATAGAGTTGGCTATTGTGGGTCTTTTGCTTTTCCGTATAAACTTTAGTCAGTTTGTCCATATCCACAAGATAGCTTGCTGGGGTTTTTTTTTTTTTTTAATAAAGGGTCGTCTTTTACTTTATTTTGAAAGTATCAAGCCAATGAATGAAGGAATAAGTGACATTTTAAAGGTTAGCAGACTATGTCAGAATTCTGTTTAATTACATAGTTACGGTTTATCACATGATGATACAAATATAAGTGAATCACATTATAGTGCTAACAATATTAAATAACTCCTGGGTAAAAATCATCAATTTAGGTGTTCAAGATCTCAATCATGCAGGGTTGTGGTGTAGAGTAGTATTTTTGAACTGCTTTTTTTAAGTGGTGGAGGAAATTTTAATATTAACTTGCTGGGATTTTGATTAGGATTGTATTGAATCTTTAGGTCAAGTCGGAAAGAACTGACATCTTGACAATATTGAGTATTCCTATCCATGAGCATGGATTATTTCTCTAATTACTTCTTTCATATCTTTCATGAGTTTTTGTCATCTAGATCTTGTACTTATTTTTTTTAGATTTATACTTAAGTATTTAATTTTTTTGTGCTGATGTAAATGTTAAGTGTGTTTTTAAAAAAAATTTTTAAGTAAGCTCTACACCGATGTGGGGGTGGAACTCATGACCCCTAGATCAACAGTCACATGCTCTACCAACTAAGCCAGCCAGGTGACCCCCTTTTTCCAGTTTTAAATGTGGATTCTTGATTTCTTAATATTGACTTTTGAGATTTCTTCTTATAGTCCTTTATCAGTCTTATTATACATGTTTTGTAAATATTTCCTCTTAAACTTGCCTTTTTTTTTTTTTTTTAAGGTTTTATTCATTTACTTAGCATGTGTGCGAGCCAGGGGAGGGGAAGAGGGAGAGAGAGAATCCCAAGCAGATTCCCAAGCAGACTCCACGCTGAGTGTGGAGCTGGACTCAGGGCTTGATCCCGTGACCCTGAGATCACGACCTGCGCCGAAATTAAGAGTCAGAAGCTTAACTGATTGAGCTACCTGGGTGCCCCAAACTTGCCTTTTAACAGTGTCTTGAGGAATGCATGTTTTAAATTCTCAGTCTAGTCTATCCATTTTTTTCTTTTAACGTTCATGATTTTGTATTCAATTTAAGAAATCTTTGCCTAGCCCAAGATCACTAAGATTTTCTGTTTTCTCCTAGATATTTTATAGTTTGGGCTCATATTTAGTAATAATCATGATTCATTTTAAGTTTTGCGTGTGGTATGAAGTAAAGATAATGTGTATTTATATATTCCATATATATATTTCAATTTTATTTCATTGATCTATGTCTAATTTTATGCAGTGCTACACTATCTTGATTACTGTAGCTTTATAGTAAGTCTTAGATTAAATGAAACTATTAAAGAATAATTGGGAAGAGGGATTGACATGAGACTACAAGGGACAGTCCAGTGGGAGACATACTTTGATTCAGTAAAATAGATTTTAGCATTAAGTGTTGCTTGAAAATGGAGAAGGTCTTGTAAAAACGTACTGAATTACCCATTCTCTTGGATTAGGCAGAGCTTGGATGTCAGCTAAGGTGAAGCTTTCAGTTGTAATTTAGGACAAGGAGAGTGGCAGATCTGTACCCTCAAGTATCCTTTTCAGGCATTGTTTTGGGATTTCCTTTTATTCTCCCCCTACCGCTGCACACTTAGTCTTAATCTTCATTGATGGGAAAATATTTGATGTTTACTGGAATTTGGCAGTTCTCCTGCATCTTTGTTGTCTTTGACCTTTCTTAGAAGCTGGCATGCTGCAGTCCTGATGTGGGATTCTTTCTTTTGCAGTTCTGCACTGATGTTTTGTAAATAGCTCTTTGTGGTCATTTGGATAGGAGCTTTTCTTGTTACCTTGTTTATTCCCAGCAAGAAATTACTTCTCCCCCTTGTTTAAAATCTGTCTAAATTTGGCCTGTTGAACTCTTTTGGCATGAATGAAATGGGGGGAATTTCTATGATGGGCTTTAAATGAGAAACATATATAACTTAAACCTTAGATATGTGAAATGAAACACGTTGCCTGCCAAAGGAGTAATTGAGTTTCCTCTATCGTTGTCAAGAGGCTGTAAGAGATTTCTGCGTTGAGGATGAGATTAGATTGGATGATTTGTAAGGGCCCTTCTAACTCTCTGCCTTCATCCTTTGCTCAGAAGTCCCAGCATCTTTTCTCTTAGACTTAGACTTACAAATCTAGTTCTAACTCTAACCTTGGCATATAGTAGATGCTCAAGATGGTTTAGTTAATGAATTTGCAAAAATTCTTCATGGTGTCTTCTTTTTTTCTCTTGCAGTTAAAAGAGCCAAATTCCAGGGCTCACCAGGTAAGGCCGGCCTTTAATTATGTCTTTTCCCTTCATACTTGATGTGATTTAAAATCAGCCTTTAGGGGTGCCTGGGTGGCTCAGTCGTTAAGTGTCTGCCTTCGGCCGAGCCCCGCATCGGGCTCCCTGCTCAGCGGGAAGCCTGCTTCTCCCTCTCCCACTCCCCCTGCTTGTGTTCCCTCTCTCACTGCGTCTCTCTCTGTCAAATAAATAAATAAAATCTTAAAAAAATAAAATAAAATCAGCCTTTTAAAAAAAATCAATCTTTTAAACAGTCATTAATTTCATTTAATTCATTGATTAAATAAATTCACAAAATTTATTAAATTATTAAAAATCAGTATGGGGAGATGTTGGTCAAGGGGTACAAAGTTTCAGTAATGCAAGATGAATAATTTCTGGAGAATTAACATACAACATGTTTATAATTAATGAGTACTGTATACTTGGAATTTGCTAAGAGGGTGGATCTCGAGCTGTCAATGTGCACATACACACACTTGAAAATGGTAATTATGTGAGTTGTGATGAATATGTTAATTAGCTTGATTATGGTGGTTATTTCACAGTAGGTATCAAATCAAGTTGTACACCTTAAATACCTACAATTTTAAATTGTCAAACCTCAGTAAAGCTGGAAAAAATCAATGCTGTTGTAAAACATTAAAGAAATCTATCAGGTGAAAACTTAAAGTCCCCTTACCTCTTGGCCACCTCAATTCTACTTCTCCCCAGTAACTATTTAGAGGTTTGTATATACCTTCTCAGATTTCTTCTGTGTATATGCATGTATAAACGAATAGATTAACCTTGTTCAACCTGCTTTTATTCCAACAACACGTTACTTTGAGTGTGTGTATACATATATTTTGTTCTTCTTTTTCTTTTTATTTATTTAAAGTGAACTTTGGGGGCGCCTGGGTGGCACAGTGGGTTAACCGTCCAGTTCTTGGTTTGGGCTCAGGTTGTGATCTTAGGGTCTTGGGATTGAACCCCACATCAGGCTCCATGCTCAGCGCAGTCTGCTTGGGTTTCTCTCCCACTCTCCTCTGCTCTTCCCCACTGTGCTTATGTGTGCGTGCATGCTTTCTCTCTCTCTCTCTGTCTAAATAAATAAATCTTAAAAAAAAATAAAGTTAACTTTGTGCCCAGTATGTGCCCAGAATTTTGTTACAAGTTTGTACCCTAGGTTCCTGATTGATGAATATTTAGATTGTTTCCATTTTTTATTATTTTAAGCAAATGCATGTTTTTGTGCGCTTATCATGGTCTGCTTTGCAAATGTATCTATACACTAGAGTCCAGAAATAGAGAATTGCTGGGACAACGGTATGCATTTTTAAAAAATTTGGTAGCTGCTGCCACATTGCACTTCTGAAAGTTTTGGGGGAGATTATACTTAAAGTATATGAGTGTTGATGAGCACTGGGTGTTATACGCAGCTAATGAATTGTTGAATACTACATCAAAAACTAATGATGTATTCTGGCTAACTGAACATAATAAAAAAAAATGAGTGTTTATCCAAATCCCTATCAATATTAGGTAGTATGAGACTTTTTAATCTTTGCCCATCAGAAGGTGAAAATAGTATTTACTTGTTTCAATACACATTTTCTTAATTATGAATGTCAAGTTACAGAGACTTGTTCTGGTTACTGCTGGGGAAAAGGGAAGGTACTGGGGATTACTGGGAAAAAGTGAACATGATTGGGAACCCATGGAATGCTGAAAAAAACCAAACCTTGGATACAATAGGAACTAAAGCAGTTACTGAGCCTATTGTTCTCTCCACTAGCTAGGTCTCTCTTCTTTCTTAGAATCTGTTTTGTTTTCCTTTCTCTTCTAGCTGGCTTTCTTATGCTTAACTTTTTTGCACATAGCCCATGATGGCTGCTCCAGTGGAGTATATATACTTCTCTGAGCTCCAGCTCCAACTACCAATTGTGTCACTATTTCTTTTTCTTTTTTTATTATATTATTCACCACACAGTACATCATTAGTTTTTTTTTATTTTTTATTTATTTAATTTTTTATTGTTATGTTAATCACCATATATTTACATCATTAGTTCTTG